ACAGCCCCGGAAATAACAGGGGCCTGATTTCCAGCGTGCCACCCCAGTGAAACCTGACATTGTAATGCAGGCCTCACCGTCACCTGTAACATACATACAAAGTCACACTATCCTCTCTAGTACGTAGTCTAGAGGGGAGTCTGCATCTTGTTTCCCCTTCCCTATTTATAATCTAGGTATCAATGGTTTCGGCTCAAGGTGATGCTGTTCTTCAATTGCAGTTGCATGATCCACTGCCATCAGTTTGATAATTGTAGAGGGGGACCTGGTCAAGTCTCAGTGTACATGACTGGCATCAGCAAGAGCCCCTGGACGGTCCTGGGTCACTGGGATGGGGTCAACCAGGCATGGACCTATGTGAACAAAAGAACCGAGAGGGACTCACAGCAGTGAGACATACAGGATCACTGGCGTATGCCCACACCCTGACATCCATCAACCAGATCCTAGCAAGAGATCAACTAGAATCCACTGACTCTAGCCTGGGGAGTTAAAGGAATTGGAGTGGACTTCTGTAGGTGGCTGGTGATTCCTAAGTAAGCACTTTTCAGCAATCTCTGCAACCAAGTGGGTTCCAGGCACAAAGGGGCCTGCCTCTCCTCTAGGAGATAGAGAAGCTGGGGAAGTTAGTGTCTTCAAATCCTGTCCAGACTGCGTAGCAACAAACACAACCAACCAACGTATATAATGTAAAAATTCCATTATGTTCCCTCACCTAATTAATACATGGCCCTGTATTTGGATTTTACAGTGGATATACAGCATTGCATGTCCCTTGAGTGGATCATCATATCAGATCTCTCAAATGCTGGACCAACAAGGAGGTCCATAATGTGCAGATGCTGTCTGAAAACATGCAAGTGGTGGTTGACAGGTGCAACGCAATAAAAAGAATAGGATGCTACAAACAAAGTTAAATACAAAAGGTACTCACTGCAGGCGTGACTGCAGGAAACCTGTCTGGTTGTTCTGTTCAAAAAGGAAAGAAGAGCAAGATTAAGTCAGGGGATCAAGTGTTGTCCACACAAACTATTTTGCTTCTTCAGTCAAGAACTCAGCAGAAAGCTTTTTTTTTTTTTTAAAAAAAGCACATCCAACATGCTGGTCTCTGCTCTGTCATCTTACCTGTGAAGCTCAGGTATTTTTGTTTCACCGTATCTTTGGAATCGTAGAATTTGAGAACATCAAGCACAGCCTGAGGATTTTTCTTCTGTTCCAGTTTGGTGATGTTGGATGTCTGTAATAGTCGAGCCCATTGTTCGGGCATTCCCTGTAAATACGCAACACACCAGATTCAAGTAAAACTATGATGGTGGGAACTGGAATATATGCAAAGATTGCAGCAAGACAACAATGAACCTAACTCTACTCAGTCAAAACAAAATTCAAATTAGAAGGAGTAAGCCATTTGCCCGAGAGTGCTCCACCATTCAAAAGATCGCAGCTGATCCGATTGTGACAATGTTCCCACTTGCTACCCATCCCTAATAACCATCGGCTTCTTGCAAAGCTTGGATGTACTATTCTTTGTTCTTCTCCTTCCCTTAGTCAGATGCCATCTGTAACCAAGGAGACAGTTTGACTAGCTCCTGAGCCTCTGACAATGCCATGGTTCATTTGACTATAAAGTGCAAGAATAACATAACCTGATGAGAGCTCTATCACCAAATGTCTTATTACAAAGAGTTCATGCTTGGTTTCCAGTCACACCCGATATGAAGTTCTAACAACATGGCTTTGTTAACGAGATGTCATGTTTGACAAATTTACGGACGTGAGTCCTTGGAGGCTGAAGAGGAACCAGTAGATTGGACTTCCAGAAGGTATTCCACAAGAAACAGGAACAGGAGTAGAGAATTCAGCCCCACCAGCCTGCTCTTTATTGAATAATATCAAGGCTGATCTGATACTTCTCACTGGGGTTTCCTGCATTTTCCCCAAAATCTTTGATTCCCCTACTGATCAAGAATCTGTCTCAGCCTTAAATATACATTTGGACTCTGCCCCCCCACAGCTCTCTGTGGCAAGGTGTTCCAAAGACTTTCTCAACCCTCGGAAGAAATTCCTCCACATTTCGGTCTTAAAATGGCACTCCTTTATTCCGAGACTATGCCTTCTGGTCCTAGACTCTCCTATGAGGGGAAACATCCTCTCAGCATTTATCCTAATCAAGAAATTTAAGAATCCTACATATATTAAATGAGATCACCTCTCAGATTCCAGCAAGTAGAGAGTCAACTAGTTCAACCTTTGTTCATAAGACAATCCCTCCGCACCTGTGATCATCCTGGGGAACCTTCTCTGAACTGCCAATGAAAATTTTCTTAAATAATGGGACCAAAATGGCTCTCAGTACTCCAGAAGTGGTCTCACCAGAACCTTGCACAGTTATAGTAAGAATTCCCTACTCCTATTCCAGCCCTCTTTGAAATAAAGGCCAACATTCCACTAGCCTTCCTGATTACCTGCTGCATCTGTGCACCAGCTTTCTGTGTTTCATGTACAAGCACCCCCCAAATCCCTTTGTATTGCTTCTTTCTGCAGGGTTTTCTCCATTTAAATAATATTCTTTTCTTTTACTCTCCTTTCCAAAATGAGCAACTTCATATATTTTTTTCCACATTATACTCCAACTTTTTGTCCACTTACTTAATCTAACGTCATCTCTCTAAACTGTTTGCAAACTTCTCACAAACTGTGGTCATGGAGTTCAGAAAACTGCCAGGTATTCTGATTAAACAAAAGATTCTGTACTGGTTTAACGTGCCAAAGGTTGAACACGTAGCGGGTAAATGCATTTTTCAAATTCTCTCTCACCCTTTTACCCAAATACTTGTAATTTGTGCCCTCTGGTTATTGATTTGTGAACAGAGATAAAGTGGATAGGAAGGATCCACCTCGTCCCTCAATTTCATACTCCTGAATTAAACAACCCCTTGACTTTCACAATTCCAGAATGACTCCAGCCTATCCAGTCTTGCCTTGTAGTTAAAATTGTCCATTCCTGACAACATCCTAGTAAATCTTTGCACCAGAGTCAGAGGTTTTAAATGGGTCAAAAGGATAAACATGAAAATATTTGAGAATGTCGGAGGGTAACCTGTAAACTCTGCAGCAACAAGCTTGAAACTGGTTTGGTAGGACAGCAGTACTTGCTCACTGTACCTGCAAACATCCCAAGGCAGAAGGCTGGTGACTGTTCCAGAAGAATGATGCACCAGAAGGGTGCCAGCAGCAAATACATTGGAACAGGACCAATTCCAAGTTGACCAACAGTAAAGCCAATGAAATAATTCATTGTAGATCATTGCATTATGTACATACCGTGAACTCCCCTGTCACAGCATCGAAACCAACATGGATCGTGTGCTCAAAGTCTGACGGAGGAGATATTTCTGGCCGTTCCTTTTCTCTCTTCTTATTTGCTGTACAAACAAGACAAACCCTGAGCAGTTGTCAAGCCATCAAAAAGCACACAAATGGAACCAATTCAAAGGAAAAAAGGATTCCAAGTGATAATAGGTGGATGGACAAATTCACTCTGGACTGGCTTAAGGTACACAATGCAGTCACACATTTCACGTGGAGTTACCAACAGAAAACAACACAGCAGAACAAGCATGGTGGCAGTCGTTAGGATCCTGAACTAAGGGCAGAGAGGTTGAAAGTCAGACTCAAAATCTTTCATACCTAGTTATGTGAAGTGGAAGTGAACAAATCGGGCACCAGAGGCCCAAAAACAAAAAACAAATGCTGGAAAGCCAAGCTGATTGTTATGAGCGAAGTGGATGTTAGAACAATCAAGACATTCCACCTCAGTCTGATCTGCATCTGACTTCCGTATCACATTACAGAATTGAGAATCAATGCCTTCTGAAACGAACTCAAAAGCACCAAAGGATAAACTGCACATGCCAAAAGAAAGAACAAACAGAAAGCATTGCAAAACACTTCAAATACAGGTCACACCGAGTCACAAAAATCAGAGGCCACTCAGCCACCACCGTCTTATGTACGCAGGTAAAATGGTCACCAATTAAATATGTATTTAATTTTAAAACTGACTAGCTGGCTGCCTTCAGCTTTTCCAATAAATTTGACTTAACTGAAACCCTCTCAAACAGTTTCATAGCTTATACAGCAACCTCAGACTCATTCTCACCGGGTTCTGAGTAATTCTCAGTTATCCAGTATTTAAAGATTCCAAACAAGTAGAGCAAATCACTCAAAATCAGAGATTGACAATTAGTAAGTCAACGTTGAAGCATCTAACCTACCCAAACTAAACCCTAGGTCCATGAAAATTGACATTTCGGGTCGGGTCTTCAGAAGGGTCCTGACCCAAAACGTTAACTTTCCAGTTCCTCTGATGTTGCCTGGCCTGCTGTGTTCCTCCAGCTACACACGGTGTTGTCTCTGACTCCAGCATTCGCAGTTCTTACTGTTTCCGAGCGAGTTCTAAACCTTAGGTCCAATGACTTTGCACTCGATTTTCAATCACAACTCCATATAAATATGCCACTTTTTCCAAAATCAATTAGCGTAGGCATCAAGCAAACAGAAAACAGAAGGGTGACCTGATGGGAGTCTTTATAAAGGTTATAAAAAGAGTCTTAGTAGTCTACACAAAAAAAATTTCCACTCCAGTCCAAACTAGGGTCACAAAAGGAAGCTTGCGTAGAGTATAAAAACACAAGCATGGAACACGGTTGGGCTGAATGGCCTGTTTCTGTGCAATACTTTCATTACAATACTATGTAATGTCAATTTGAAATCAGTTTATGAATCTAGATCTCGATCTGAAGCGATTTAATCCCAAACATTAATTTGTAGAAACGAGAGAGAATGTCCTAAAGGGGTCTTAAAAGGAGGTTATCTGTGTAGACCTTAGGAATAAAAAGCGGAGATTACTTGGCTGGCATTATACTACAGGCCTCCCAACAGTCAGAGGGAGAAAGGAGGTATGTAGGCAAATCACAGAAAGGTGCGAGAGAAACATGGTTAAGGTGTAGGGAAGTTTAGCTTGCTAACATTAACTGGGATCACCTTAGTGTGAAAGGATTAAACAGAGTGAAAGTTTTTGAAGTACATCCAGGAGAGCTTTTTGTGTCAGTACATAACTGGCTCTACGAGAGATGGGGCAGTGTTAGACCTAATTCTAGGGCATGAGGCCAGTCAAGTGGTTGAAGTTTCAGTGAGTGCACATTTTGCGGGTAGTAACCACAACTAAGTTTCAAAGTCATTATGGAAGGGGATAGGAAAGAACAGAAGTTAAGTGTGTAAATTTGTAGGGTGGGGGGCGAGGGGAGGAGGTTGTATTTTCAATATTATTAGACAGGATCTGGCAAACAAACTGGGAGCAGCTACTTGCAAGTAAGACAGCATTTGGAAAGTGGGAGTCTTTTAACAGTAGTATAGTGAGAATTCAGGGCCAACATGCTCCTCTAAGCGTGAGAGGCAAGGGCAAATAGTCCCAGGAACCCTGGATATCAAGGGATATAGAAAACGAAGCTAGCATGTGCCAGGTACAGAACCTTAAAAACAGGCGAGGGCCTTCAGAAGTAGAGAGTGTGTAAGGAGGTACATAACAAAGAAATTAGGAGGATGAAGAGGGGCCACAAAATATCTGTGGCAGAGAGGATCAAGAAAACCCCCCAGGCTTAAGTGCAAGAGGATTACCACGGAAAGAGAGAGAATGGGGCCCATTAGAGATCAAAGGGGCAACCCAAGTATGGAGTCAGTGGATGTTGGGGAGGTCTTAAATGGCTACTTCTCATCTGTGTTCACAGTGGAGAAAGACATCATAGCAAGAGATTTCAGTTGGGATGATGAGGTTCTAGAACATGTTGAGATTAATGAGGAGCAGGTATAACATGCTTTGTGGGCATAAAGGTGCATAAATCCACAACGCCTGATGAGATGTATTCCAGGCTGCTATGGGAGGGAAGGGAGGTGATTGCTGGCGCTCTACTAGAGATACTTAACACTTCATAGGCCACAGGTGAAGTCCCAAGTGACTGGAGGATAGTAATGATTCCTTTGTACAAGGAGGGCAGCAGGGATAGGCCAGGTAACGACAGGCCCATTAGTCTGATGTCGGTGGTAGGGAAATTCAAAATATTTCCGAGAGACAAGATTAATAAACACTTGGAAAGGCAAGGATTGATCAGGGATTTTTTAGAGAGAGATGCTATCTGACTAATCTAATTGAGTTTTTTGAAAAGGTGAATAAAAGTACTAATGAGGGCTTTGCAGTTGATGTGGTTTACATGGACTTCACTAAGCCCTCTGACAAGGTCCAACATAGAAGGCTGGTCCAAAAAGGTAAGAGCCCATAGGATCCAAGATTGGCTTGCAAATAGGAGGCAAAGGGTGATGGTAAAGAGTTGTTTTTCGGATTGGAAACCTGTGACCAGCAGTGTACCAGAGAGATCAGCGCTGGGGCCTTATTTTTTATTGTGTACATTAATGATTTGGACGTGAATGCAGATGGTATAATTAGTAAGTTTGCGACGACATGAAAATTGGTGGTGTTGTTGACAGTGAGAATGGTGGTCTCAGGCTACAGTCCGATATTGATCAGCTGGTAAAGAGCAACGGCAGATGGAATTTAATCCTGATAATTGTTAGGTGAAGCATTTTGGGAGGTCCAGTAAGGCAAAGGATATAGAAAAATGAATGGTAGGTCCCTAGCGAAAACTGAGGAACAAAAAGGGACCTTGGTGTACAAGTCTTAACACCAAGTCGGCAGGGTGCAGAATGTAGGAGAAAGGAAGGCTTGCTAGAGCTTTATAAAACATTGGTTAAGCCACAGATTAAATACAGTGCGCAATTTTGGCCACCACACTATCAGAAGGACATGATTGCACTGAAGAAGGTGCAGAGGAGATTTACCAGGATGAAAAGTCACAGTAATGGGGAGACTGGATAGGCTGGGGTTTGTTTTCTCTGGAGCAGAGGTGGCTGAAGGGAGATCTGATTAAGGTAGATAAATTATGAGAGGCATAGACAGAGTGGATTGTGAGAATCAATTCCCCAAGGCAGACGTGCCTCAGACCAGATGGCATAAATTGAAGGTGAGGAGCAAATGGTTTAGAGGGGATTGGAGTTAAAAAAACTTCCATCCAGAGGGTGGTAGAAATATGGAACATGCTGCCCGAGAGGGTGGTTAAGTCATGTACTCTTGCAACATTTAAGAAGCATCTGGATGAGCACATAGAAACACCAGAACATAGCAGGCTATAAACAAAGTGCAGGTAAAAGGGATGAGTGCAGTTTGGTGTTTGTTGGTCAGCACAGTCATAGTAGGCCAGACAGTCTGTTTCTACGCTGTATGATTGACTCATTAAGATTTTATTACAGAGAATTATTCCTGCCTCCTGTTCTTTGCAGCCCCTTGGAGGTCTCCCTACTAGAATTATTTGTATATGATTTGTGAAAGATTTCACTCTTGGATCAATCTGAAGCTCCAAGAGATGCAAACATAATTAAAGAAACGTCCATGGGGGAGGGGATGCAGAGGGTTCATTGAAGCTCAGAACAAAAAGGAGAGAGACAGTACAAACAGTACTTTGTCCTAAAATCAAGGGATGAGATTCCAGAATTGTTTGAAAAGCTGGCTGTCTGGGTGGTGTAGGTGGAGACACTGCCCCTACTGAATGCTGCTGAAAATTCAACTTCCTACCTCCTCACCCCTCCCTTATGCAAGATCATAAGAAAAACTAGAACACCAAATAGTTTGAACCATTTGCCAGCCTGGTTATGTGAAGTCTAGGAGGCAGTCAGCCAGCTGCTTACTGGACACAAGAGCATCATTTTTTGTTAGATTTAATCCAATGATGCCAGTTTCAAATGTATAATCCCCAAACAAAGGCTTTATCTGTTCTGAATATCACAACAACACCACAATCTTCATTCAGACAGTAGCACAAGAAAACAAAATCGCACTCTTTCCAGATTTCCAAGCAAACTCCAACTGCTATCGGCTTAGTTGGTAACTGGGGGAAGCAAACATTAAAAGCATGCATCAGATGGAAAAGCTTTGAAGACAGTGAGTTGTGTATTGACTGTACCAATCCTTATCCGTCTCTGGCATAGCAAATGCACTATATGCTAGCCCTATTGCTGCATCACACTTACTATAACCGTTGCATGCCCAAACACATTGCCGTTTCTTGCACAATTTCCTCATCTGCCTTGCTGTGTGACAGTTTCATATATTCTTTCATCCCTTTCACACATTCCACACCACGGCAGTGACCAGGCACCCACCTCTTCTGACCCCAGGACACATCTGATCACAAACTCCTCCATTACCCCTGTGATGGATTCTTTCATTTACCTTTTTCTCCAGTGTTTGAGAAAATAGACTTGAGTTTTGTCCGCTTCTGTTTCTCTTCAGGTACAGATGGCAGTGGCTTGGCATTGTGGTTGGTCAACAGTGTGTCCTTGCTACCCATTGGGAAACTAGTGCTACTCACACGTACAGGGGGTGCAGGTGGTTTGTCCTCCAACTCTCCGTTATTGGACATTATTTCAGGTTAAATACAAACCCTAGAGAAAGGACACAATAGTTAGCACCAAAAGGCAACACAACATACATTGGAAAAACGCAGTTGTTTAAGAAAAAAAAAGCACCGCTGACTCCGTATAGCTGCCACAAGCCCAAAAACCACTACTGCAGAGCTTTTAATCAAAAAGGAAACCTACTGCAGAAATCACGTCACTGAGTGATCTGCAAATCAAGTGTTCTCTTTGAATGTCACTGGCAAGGCTTCTATTTATTGCCCATCCAATCTTGTCCAGGACAGTTAGGGATGGGCAATCAATTCTCACCTAGCCAGCAGCGCCCACATACCACCAAATAATATGACAAAGCTACTCTATTGCTCTCTAGTGACTGGAAGACTCCAGCATCCAGGAACTAATTTATATTCTCGTTGTCACAATGCTGCATTGTATAGAAACAGTGAACCACACCAGATCACCCAGCTGTCTTTTTTTTGGGGGGTTGGGGTGGGGTGGTGTTAAATTCTTAGACATTCGAAAGTTAATGAATTTTTGTAAAGCAGGTCAGGTAGAAACAGACAAAGAAAAGCCCTCATCTGTTCCAGTGTGTAACTCTTCTACTCAAATTCTGGGGTGACATCTCATTTCTACTCTTCATAACACTGCAAGGCTGCTGCCAATTCTCTGTGGTAGGTTCCCACATTATTCCCAGACATCAGTCAGCCAGAGAAAATCCAACAGCAGTTCAATCCATTCAAGCTAGCTTAAAATGTGGAGATTTGCACTATTTTGTTTTTGTTTAGTTATTCTTTTATGGGATGTAGGTGCCACTGTCTGGGCTACCATTAGTTGCTTATCCCTAAGTGCCTTAAAAAGGTGGTGGTGAGCTGCCTTCTTGCAGTCGATGAGGTTTGGGTACATCCACAGTGCAGCGAGACAAGGGGTTCCAGGGTTTTGACCATGTTGCTCCCACTTTACAATGGCGTATATCTACACACCAAATGACATAACCACAGTCCCAAAAAGTGCCCATGACATGTTGGAGCACTGCAGAATCAATCTTTTTCCATGCCTCCAGAGGACTTTTACTTGTAATATACAATAAGGGAACCACTGGTATAACAAAGAATTCCTTCATTCACTCTGATGCTCCACACAGCTCAGCCCTGATACTGGATCCAGTCTTCACAAACTCACTTTCCCCCCAGCACACACAAAGGCCTTGCTGCATGTCACCTCAAACCTAATGAGCTTAGAGTTCAGCACGAGCATGTCAACTTTTGACAAATGCTGATTATACATCAGTGCATAGAGAAAGCATGACCTGGCACATAGTCACACTTATGTCTGGAGCCAAGACAAAGTCATTTACAGGAAGAATTTTGCAAGGTTTAACAGTGTGATTGGCCAATTGGAATGTACTTGGGAGGAAGATGCTATCTGCACCCAGCACCCTATCAAAAAAATTTTGATTTACTGAACTGAGAGCTCAGAGTTCCTACGTGTAATGTTATTTTCTAAATTCTTTCATAGGAATGACCATCACTTGTAAAGCCAGCATTTTGTTGGCCAACCTTAATGGCCATTGAAGGAGTGGAGTGTCACATGTAGGCTAGATTAGATAAGGAGGGCAGAGTGCCTTCTCTGAAACAGGATATTAACGATCCAGATGGGTTTTATGATATTCCATAATAGTTGTCACAGTTACCATTACTTAAACTAACTTTAGATTACAGACTTTTTAAACCTAATCGAATATAAATTCCACCACTTATCATAGCGAGATTTGAGCCATTGTACCCACAGCATTAGCTTAGGGTTATAGATTACAGGGACACTACCATGATACCACCATCTCCAGGTAAAAGGTGGTCAGTTTACCTCTCCAGAAATATCGACTGTAATCGCAAAAGTTTACCCCCAAAAGGTCCTACATCATAAAGGCTGAATTTCACATTCAGCTGCTATCAATAAAAGGTCTGAATCACAGAATGGATACAACACAGAAGAGACCATTCAGCCCACCATCTGCACTATTGCTCCTTAGAAACAATTTACCCAATGTCATTTCCCTGCCTTTGCCCTGTAACACTTGCATATGCTCCCGTTTCTGATTTCAAGCCAATCCCTTCTTGAATATTTTGATTGAATACTCAGGTATTGCATTCTTGATCTTAACCACTCACAGTTGGAAAAAGTTCTCTAGTGCCACCATTGCTTCTTTTGCCCATTACCTTAAATGTGAGCCTAATGTGCTCAAAATGTTCACTAAATGGGATCAGCTTCATTCCACCACTACCGCCCCTCTCAATCTACACTGTCCAGACCTTTCACAATTTTGAATACTTTGATGCAATCTCCTCTCAAACCCCGGTTCTCCAAAAGAAAAATGCCCCAATTTCTCCAATTCTTTAAGCAGAAATTCGAAGTATCATAATTTGATTCTTTAACCATCTGGTCATATCCAATAGCACCAGATTGTGTCAGTGCAGCTAACCCACTGGCATCTGCCCAGAATCAGTTTTAAAAAAAGACATTCTGCAACACGAGACAAACAAACTGCATTTGTTGATGGGGAGAAAGGTCAAGATGACACTGAACCCTATCAGTGTTCCAACTTTCAATGTGACAAGATTAGTCAACAGTAAAACAAACATAAACGAGAGGACCCAATTGAACCACACTGTTTCCACTGTCAGGATCTGTTGACGAGGAGAACATTAGACAAATACTTACAGCTTTGACACCACTACACACGTATTTGTATAGCACCTTCCGTTTAGTAACTTACTTTAAAGGGCTTCACAGGAGCCCTATCAAACAAGCTTTGCCAACAAATTACCTAAGGAAGTATTAGGGCAAGTGTCCAAAAGCTTTGGTCAGAATTAGGCTTTAAGCAGCTTTTAAAAAGAAGGAAGGAAAGAGACATGTGCACCTCAGTACGTTCAAAAAGTAATTTTTTTAGGGTACAGTGACTACACTCATTTCTTGTTATCTGCTGATTTGCTATCCATGGATCTAGGTAATTTCAAGGTCAGCCCCAGACCTCATTTTCTTTCATTCACTCATCTGATGTGATTACATGGTGCACAAGAGAGTTGCACAGAAGTGGCATCCACGCTTTTTGTTACCAGCAGGGAGTTGTACTTAGATTTACAGAAAAATCACTTCTACTCCAATTTCAGTTTATAAAGTACATCGATGCAATCTGGATTAAAGCAAGATTAAGCACAAAGTTAACCATTTCATCCAAACCTGGAGATGCTACTGACTGAAAGGGTGGTGTTATTAAAAGACCACATTTTCTTTTTGGGAATTGTGAACTGAAATGGAATTTGGACTGCTATAACAAATACCAGGAAAGTTTTACAATTTAAAAATCAACCAATGCATTTTTTTGAGCTGTGCAATACAACGACACCTTTTATAGGGGTAGGGGTAGGGGTAGGGGTAGGGGTAGGGTGTAGGAAAATCAAACTGATCAGGTCTTTTGAGTAGAAGAAATTCTGGCTGATGACAGCCTCATAGTAGTTTCAACAATCTACAAAAAAAGTGCCAGGGCAACAGAGACAAAATTGCCGAGCTTGCAGACATCTCATCGACTCCGTGTGGACAAAAAAAAACAAAGAAAACTGAGAAAGAATTCTGAAACAAAAGATTTTCATTCAATAGTTGATCGGGTGAACCCAAGAACAACCATTATCCTCAAAACAGTGTGTCATCAGTACTAAAATTCACAGAGATAATTCAACACACTCTTCAAATATAGACTGGTGATTCTCAGAATTTTGCGTATCATGTCTATATTTCTTTTCCACCCTTTGTATTGTTATTAAGACAGACAAGATAAACAATTTAACCATGGTCCAGTGTGTTCATGAGAGGTTTTGAAGAGATACAGTTTAAGTTGCATGGCAGCAGATTAGAAATCCTCTTCTTTGCTTGTTGTTTGTTGGTGTTACATAAATTAAGTTTTATTTTGTTACTGATGAAACTGGGTGTGAATTGCTTTTGTCCTGAGTAAGTCATACAAGTTGGTTGTTTTAGTCGTCTCATTGGGATTTTGTGCAGTTATACATTTTGTGACAGCTTGTGGAACAATTGGGCACAACTAGCAGTGCATTTTATCCAGGTACGTCAACCATTGAAAATCTGAGGACTGATCAGTGAAAACAGCCACTTCCTTGGTCTATGTATTTGAACTATTTTAGTTAAGTGCTGCTGGCTAAGGACAAAGTATTAAACATTACACTTATCTAGAAGAGGTCAATATAATAATCTAAATAAAACCTGAAAGAACTGCGGATGCTGTAAATCAGAAACAAAATACAGAAATTGTTAGAAAAGCTCATCAGTTCTGGCAGCATGTGGAGAGAAATCAGAGTTAATGTTTTGGGTTGATGGCAGATTCTAGAAGAAATGGAGCAAATCTCCATTCTAGGCACAAAAAGTGCCAGAAATATTGAGGGCATTTATCAAGGTCTGCAATTCAAGTTTCTAAAGAAGCTGATTTGTTTTGGTAGATGTATGACTTCAGTGCTGATGACCACTTTAAGCAGACGATACCAATCAGAGCAGTCTTGAACTGTCCAACACCTAGGAAAACCAGAGGGTCCCAGATCAAAAAAAAACTTGTGGTATTCTGACTTACTAGAAATAACACACTCTAAAAGTGACAACCTCCTCTTAGTCAGTAATGAAGATACACTGTATTCAAAGCAGAATACTTAACCCACTTTACAATAATCGCACAATTTTGTTTGACAAGAGATAAGACATATATATTTTAACACTTCTGAAATGCAAGACTCTAGCATTATTCTTGAACCAGTCAACAAAAGACGCAGGAGTCCTGCAGGCAATAATAACCAAACATTTTTATAAACTGTCAAAATGCTTCATTTGTGTCACAGGGGTATATTTGGCTGGCTTGTTAAAAATTTAAAACAGGACAATTTTCTTGCTGAAAGGACAAAATGCCTCAAAAATTTCCCACCACAAACACCTAGACCGTGGTTTCTTAAGAAACTTGAACATTTGTTCCATCTAAT